AGCATCAGGAGATGATCACTTTCAACCGGGGAACAATTTGATGTAGGCAAAGATGGGGCAATTGATTTGGGTTGATGTTTGGGCTGTCCCCTTTGGTGAGCTATTATGTCCTCTATTAAAACCAGCTCATTAATATGTAATTAATGTCAAATCAGGTTCATTCCCCCTTTCTCTCCCTCTCTGCTGCCCGTTCTACTGTCCCGTGGCTTTTCCTCTCCCCGTTGCTGTCTGTTCTGGTTCCCTATGGGCGCCCGTTCTTGTCTCTCGTGCCTTTTCCTATCCCCCTTGGGGCCCTTCGGGTGTTGCTCCTGGACCGCCTGCTGGCCTTCTGTTTCCCCTTTCCTGGTTGGTTCAGCTGGATTTGTTTTGGACTGTTTGGCTGCCTCTTTTTTACCTATAAATATGTGATGTTTTGAAGTTTAAAAAAGAGAGAGATTATGTGACAATTTATGGATAGCAAAACCTACGGGTTTCTTCTTGGAAAGCTTGCGAGGTTGTTCCATTTCTCTTCTTTTCTTCTTGGAAAAGTTTGCGAGCTTGTTCCATTTCTCTTCTTCTCTCTACAATTTCGTCACGGACTTCTTATATCTTTCTTCTCTCCACAAGTGTCCACCTCGTTTGTATCTTTCTTCTCAATCCAAGAAAAGCAATTTTAGATGTTTTATGTCATAAGTTTGTATGTGTCGTCTTTATAATATGAAAGTTAAGTTGTTTTATGTTTAAATGTTTTTTTTCTGTTTGTGGTATTCTAAAAGGAAGACCCATATTGTATGTATTTTGGCGATCTTCTTGATTGCATCAATTTTCTTCTTAAAAAAGTAAAAATCTATCATGATGAGCTTCCCTTGAAAGACGCACCTCAAAAATTATGATAGCTTTTTCACATTCTTAAGAAGAAAATTAGAGCACAAGGAAACCTATAATCTCCCCTAATATTGAGGAATATTTATTAAATTTAATAAGGTGAAAGGTGTTCCAATAACTTTTAAATTTATATAAATTTCTTGGATATTTTTCATAATTTCAAAGCATGACCATCCATCTTTTTAGTTTTCTAGAAAACTTATAATAAGGAATTTAAAATTCAAATAAAAAAAATCAAAAAGGAGTTCCAAAAGAAAATGGCCCAAGCCAACTTGTGATTGTCCGAACCAATTTTCTAACATGGACAAGACATTTAGGCCTTTTTTAATCCCCACAACCATTTTTTAATATTTTAGACTTTATTTTGGCACCATGAGCCCCAATGGAGTCCTTAGAGGTGATCATAAGCCATTTTGGAAAATTTTTAACCAAATTCTTCAGCATTGTACATCTCAAATATATGTTGACTTCACAGAAGGGTGAAATTATGACAGATGGAGAATAAATTGGTCCACAACAACAAATGAAGGTCCATGTTCACCTCCAGGGAATGGTCATGCCAAGAAATAGGCTCAAAATTGCAATTTTACTTGCCAATTTTTTTTAGGTCTAGAGTTTTTCAATCGCAAATTTTAATGTTCAAATACAAGGGCAATTCATATGCCGCATAAAAAAATCATCCAATCAAGAATGAATTTTTACACAACTTTTAGATCTAAGAAAACCCAAATATTTAGCTAAAAGCTTTAGGAAGTGACTCTGAGATCATTCAAGCTCCACTTTCAAAAAATTTGAAGTCAAGACAATGCAACTCAATGAGATGAACCTAACGATACCAAGAACAATTGGATCAGAGTCTAATTAAGCATAAATCAAGCTCTTGAAAGTATAAATAAAAACTTCTCAAGCCTAATTAAAAGTTAAAATCAAAATAAGCATCACAATGAGAAAAATTAGACAAGTCAAAGGTCACACAATTTTGAGTTCATTGAAGTACTAAGATGTAAAAATAGCATAGCATGATCAAGAGGATCTATTCAAATCATCCACTGCAGTGTCAAGCTTTGGTAAAAATGATTTGAAGACAATATTTCAACACTAGAATAATCATTTAATTTGGATTAAGCCCTTGGTTTCCTCTGGTTGGATTATCCGCATAAAAAATCTTGTGCCTCATGTGTACCACTCTCAACTTAAGTATAGAAAGCATTTTCTTAGGGAGCATAAATCATTAAAAGGTTTCACATTGCTTCCAAAGGCACAAGCAGCATAGGTGGCTCCTCACCTCATCCAGAATGACTACATGTTAAGTCAATTCCATTGCAATAAGCATGCTTGCATATTTTTTATGAGATATCATATGATATTTGTTAGAATTCATAGAATTTGAGAAGGGGAAAAATACCTTCTTCTTATTATACAAAATTATCCCTATTTATAGATATATACAAGATGTCTTAATAAAGAAATAAATAACTTCTAATTGATACATAATTGCCTCAATATAATCCTTCCTGATTCAGCTACCCAATATAGAAGGATATTGGCGTGATCCAGGTGAGCCTCCCACGGATTCTCATCCTGACCGTGGGATCAAATGCCAAGGGATGACTGAGCTTTTGACACGCCCCCTCAAGCTGGAGACCAGCTTGCAATTACTTGCTCAGAGGTAGAGCTGCATTGGTTATGGATAGGATATCAATCACAATAGATAGACGGCTGTATTTCTCATAATTCCAGCAATGAAGGCCGGTGGTGGGAACTTGTATTTCTCATAATTCCAGCAATGAAGGCCGGTGGTGGGAACCTGTATTTCTCATAATTCCAGCAATGAAGGCCGGTGGTGGGAACCTGTATTTCTCATAATTCCAGCAATGAAGGCCGGTGGTGGGAACTTTGTATTCCTCAGAAATTCAGCAATGAAGACTTCTCGGAGAAAATTTCCCTTGTCGACAATAAAGGTCGATGATAAAGATTTTCCTCCCTTTTTTTCACCAAAAAATATATTTTTTTTCTGTCCGACAATGAAGGTCGGGTTTTTTTTTTTCCGGTTTAATTAACCGGGCTAAGCCGAGTTTTAAAAGAGTCGGACCGGATGGCTAGGGCTCAAAGAAAGGCACGATTTGCCCTCTCAAGCCGCAAGTCGAGTCTCCGTCCCGACTTCCATCTTTCGGTCGACAGGAGGAGTTCAGTTGGCGTGGCCTCTGCCGAAGCCCCGTCTCCACTGGATGGATTGACAACACTTGATCTTCAACAGCAATGAAGGCCGTTTCTTGCTCCGCCGTGCTCATGGCTTTGGCCGCACGTCTTCGCTTCTTCCGTCGTTGGCTTCGACTGGCCTTCTTCGACAACTTGCTCCTCCTATCGGATCGGAAGTTTTGAAGACTCGTTCGTGGCTATTCGACTATCCTCCTTGGACGACTTGCTCCCCGTCAAGGCAAGGCTTCGCCTGCGGCTTGCAACTTCAGTCTAGGCCTCCATCCATCATTTGTTCGCCAAGCTTCATCCGCAAGAGCTTCGTCCTAGTCGTCCGCAGAGCTCGGTTCTTGCGGTCGATTCTTCCAAACGGGATCAGTTCGGCTTGCGATTCTCTCGGGCGACTTCATCTCCTGGATGTTCGACTATCCTCCTTCGACGACTTGTCCTTCCTATCAGATCGGAAGTTTGGATCGGGACTTCCGCTCTTTCTCGGCTTCCGGCTTCTGCGTGTAGGGTCGGCAGCGATGCTCCGATATTTTTTTTTTCTTCCTTCGATGATATAAGATCGTTCTTTGACGGCAATTAAGGCCGTTGGCTCTGATACCATGTTAGAATTCATAGAATTTGAGAAGGGGAAAAATACCTTCTTCTTATTATACAAAATTATCCCTATTTATAGATATATACAAGATGTTCTAATAAAGAAATAAATAACTTCTAATTGATACATAATTGCCTCAATATAATCCTTCCTGATTCAGCTACCCAAATATGGAAGGATATTGGCGTGATCCAGGTGAGCCTCCCACGGATTCCCATCCTGACCGTGGGATCAAATGCCAAGGGATGACTGAGCTTTTGACAATATTTAATGTTAAATTTCACTTATATAAGTAAATTGCATATAAATCTATCAATGATTTACCTCTGATGAAAATAAATTAGAAAATAGAAATATCAAAGTTAATACATCTCAAATGATAACAATCGCAAACTTTGGTGCTTGAAACAATGCCTTGCAACTTTTTTCATGATAACAAGCAACAAAATTTTGAAAAATGATAAAAAAAAGAGATTAATGACCTTCCTTCTACCCTCTAACAACAAGTAAAATAGTCAACTAGTTTTTACACATTAGGTATTACTACAGTTCTCGACTTGTTATTCAAGGCAAGGTTTTGAGTGCTGAAGTACTTAATTAAAATATTTTCTTCAGAATAAAAATATCTAACAAGGCAAAGAGTTTAACTGACATCTTGTAAGTTACAAATAAAAAAAAGCATCTCCAGCACACTGTTATAGGCCATAATACAATGTGCTACACTAGAGGAAAAAAAACACCCTGCTCTTTGATCCTTTTAAGATATCTGATTAGTTAAGATCTCATGGATAGGAAAATAAATTTCTAAGGTTATAGGATGTGGAATTAACATTAGGGAGGAAAAGATCATGCCTTACCATTAAATTCACAAAAGAGGGACCACAACTCTTCCTGGTACCAAAAGGTTGGTGAAATTACAATAATTTCTTAGACAGTCAAGTTTTTTTGACAGAAACCACCAGTACTAAAATGTAATCAACGCAGAAAAAAATAGATAAACCTCTATGCAATAAGAATAAAATTGCCCTCAATTAAACATGTCTAGAAAGGATTATGAGATTAATGACTCTACTAACAAAAATAAATAATATATTAATGAATAACTAAACAACCCTTCAAGTTATAAATGGCTAAGATCGTATTTCAGACTCGTCACAGCAACATGAGATTATATTTTATAGATCATATGTTTACATAACAACTAAACAATTATATAAGATATAAATTGCTAAGCTTGCATTGCAGACTCATCACAACAACATGAGGCCATATTTTATAGATGAAATGTGGTTATCACCAAGATTCCATCTTCTAATAATCAAGAGCATACAGTTACCTAGTTCCCTTCTTTGGAACAGATACCCCATCTTTGGAATTTCCACCTGCGATTGGCGAATGAATAAAAAGGCCCATCTTTTTATCAATTTGATCTTGGAAAATAAAATCATGCATGCATCCAATATTTGAAAGTGAAAAGGTATGGATAGAGGGAATTAAAATTAAGAACTCCCTAAGACTAACCTTCGGAATCAGTCTTCAGTTTTTCATTTGGATTAATAGTCCCGCCTCTAACAAAAGTTTTTGATCCAGGTGTGTCACTCCCCTGGAAGGATTCTACAAACTCTGCATATAAGCGAGCAGTCTCATCTTCCGCTCTCTTCAAGTTTCAATCATAGTGAACAAGTAAGTTTAATAATGAACTGACAGAAACTCATTTTCCAAAACCTAGAAAATCTTAAAAAGAAGGGTAGCAGATAAAAGAGGGAAATTTTACCTTCTTTTTGGCTTCTTCCTCTTCACGATGCTTCTGGAAAGGTGTCTTCTTTCGAGTGATGGAAAAGGAGTTCATCTTTAACCAAAACAACAAATACATGAAGTAAAACAATCGTGAACAAATAAATTCTAATAAGTGAATAACCAGAACTACAAACTATTTCCGAAGGCAAAAATTAAGTCTAGAACGATAAGGAGAGTTCTGGAACAGATCCCATCGAAAGAAGAGGCGAGATCTCTGAAAGAACAAGATAGGGGAAAGAATGAATCCTGGAACTGTAAGAAAACTGTAAGTACCGCGCATACCTCTTCAAAAGGGGGAGGAAGAACTAGGGTAATTGAAATCGAATATGGAGCACCTCCGGCGAGTAGGGAGGAAATTTTCTGTATTGCTCGCAGCCCCGCAGGGGACAAGCCGCGGGTCAAGGCGTGAGGAAGCGAGAGGCGGAGTGCGATGGAAATTTGGTTTAATGCCTAGCCCGAGTGAGTCGGTCGTTCCAAGTGACTCGAGGGCATTTTACCATTGATGGTAGGACGGTTAAGGTCCCTTTTTTTTTTTTTTTTTAAAAAAAAAAAATTAATTTTTTTTTAAGAAATACAAATTACATTAAAATAATAAAAATCTAATACAAATTAGAAAGCAAAAGCAACATTTTAAAACTACCATAATGGATATGGGATTCACTAAGTTCCATTTTAGATCAGTGGCGGAACCAGAAAATGTATGTAGGGGGGGCCTAAATTTTTTTTTCTTTTAAATTTTTCCTCAAATTTTTTAATCTGACTTGGAACCGGCATGGATAGTTTTAATTTTTTTTTTCAAAGTATTATTTAAGATGATAGATTATTAAATATTAAATAATAAACAACTTACGGTTTATAACGTCTACTATTAATATTCTGAAAGAATTAAATGATTATTTTATTATCAACATTATATAAAATATATTTTTTAATATAAGCAAGTAACTTATCATTCAATCAATGCTCTTCAATTCTATTTCGCAGATGATTTTTTATCTACCAATCATGAGATTATATTTGTTGTATTAAAAGCATATATCATATGTGTGGCATTCGTTGTCTCTTCTGCTTCTAAGGTCGTTTATGAGGCTCATTACTCGGAGCAATTATTACGTTAGGTCACCTAACGCGTTCAGAGACCAATAATCACGCGCCACGTCACCTGAAACTCGGTATTGCTCGGTATACGTCTGGATTTCCAGTTTTTTGTCCGGACGTAATAACTTCTTCATTATTACTCGCTTCCATCATAAAATGATCAGATTGAAGTTTGTAGAAACCCGCACTATCAATATATATATAATAGCACTTAAACATTGAAATTTATTTATATAACAAATAAATTTTTAAATGACATCAAAAATGTTGTTAATGCTAATTATCCTAAAATGAAATATATCAAATATATACTTTTAATGTATATATTTTGATGTAATTGATACACTAAGTTATTATATAATTAAATATTAAAATTTAAGATATATATATTGATGCATCATGAGAAACTAATAGAGAAAATGATCATAATGGTTCCTCAACTTTTATGAGGGATCAAAATGGTCTCCAATTCATTTTAGAGACTAATTTTGTCCCTCAAATCCTTAAAAATGAATTTTTTTGTCTTAATATTAAATTTTAAGGCTAATGGTATTAAATTAAGTGGTATATTAATTATTTTTTAATTAAATTATTTAGTAAATATAATTTTCAAATAATAGTAGTTTATTAAGAAAATCATTTCTTTAATAAAAAATTTACTAATAATTCTAGTTTTAATTTAGAATCATTATAGACTAGAATTATTATTATTTTTTATTAAATAAATATTTAATATTGTATAAATATTATTATTTAAAAATATATTTAATAAATAATTTAATTAAAAAATGATCTAAATACCCTTTGATTTAATATCATTAATTCCAAAATTAGATGTTATGACCAAAATAATCATTTTTAAATACTTAAGGGACCAAATTGATCCCTCAAAAGAGTTGGAGGTCATTTGTGTCCTTCACAAAGAGTTGAATGATCTTTTTTGTCATTTTCTTGAAACTAATATAATCGGTGCAAATTTTGAGATAAAATATTAACTGACACTTTCGAAATTACATTTAAGATCATATAAATTTTGATTTTAACAAATTTTTATAGTTGAATTGAGCATGTCGACTAGATATACTAATCAACACTACAGGTGATCAATCCGACTCCAAATAAACTCTAATTAAGCACATGAATCCAATTTGGAAACTTCTAAACATTAATTGAATGACTAAATCCACTTATTGTAGGCTTATAATTAAATTGAGTGGCTCGACTAGATGAATATAACCATTTCAATTTCATTCAACTATGACACTATTAAGGCATTCAAATAATTGATAAATGGTCTATAACCAAAAGGATTAATATGAACTATGTGATAAAGTGTTTCCTTAGGATATCTCCATTAAAAGTACGTAAAGCCTAAGTAATGAATGCAAAATCCTATCCATATAACTATTTTACACAAAATTAGGTGCAATGATTATAAACCTTCCAATTAGTTGTCTTCCTAGTTATGATTGAAATGTAATAAAAATATCAACTAATAAGATTCCTTACAATCAACTTTGAATCTCTACAAATTCAATCCCATCATAAAACTAAAAAATTTATAAAATAATAAAAAATATGCAAAACTCTTTTAATTATAAAAAAAAAATTTGTTTCTCCTTACTTAAGTATCCTACATTTGTGCTCTTCTTCAAGCTCATCTTATTGAGTTTTGTCAAGGTCAATTATTGAATTATGTGAACTTATATATGAGAGAATATTTAAAATGCACTCCTAAAAGATAAAAATGGTTTGCCCCATGCCCATAGTATCTAACATATATTCTCCACTATAATCTTGTCAAGGGTGACAAATTCAAAGCATGAATGAAGATTATAATAGAGCTAATATTATATTTTTGAAGGCATATAATAAAACTAAACATCATGTATTATAAATGATACAATAATGATCTTTGTCTCAAGCAATAATGCCTAAAATAGGCCAACTAAATCACATAATAGGATGAAGGGCAAAAAAATGACTGTTCTCCAGTGACAATTTCTGAGTCTGGATAGACTTACTTACAAATGCCTCCCACTACTAAGACTACCACCATTTTTTTTGAGCATATAGGTAGTATCTTTTTTCAAAATCACCAAACTAGGTTAGATGATATGAGAAACCATTATAACATTACTTAATGTAGAGCCTCCTCGCAATTAGCTTTAATTAAGATTTTTCTATTATGATCCCTATGAATGATTAATTATGGCACTTTGTTTTCATAAATAAGCCTTGAAGTATGAATATGAAGTTCATAAATAATTGAAAAAGTTATGCTTTGTTTGCTACAAAATTTATCTTGTAAAAAATATTTTAAATGTTACTTATTTTATAAATAGTTGGCAATGATCTTTGTAAACCCATAGCATTACACATCAAGACCACCATTTGAAAGAGGAGCAAAATCAATCATTAGCATCATCTACTAACTCCCCGTCCCTCATTATTTTAAGAAAAATAACTTATCAAGTAATACTAAAAATACTAATGATAATTTACATTATCAAAATGGCTAAAGAAGTTAAGATGGCGTGTTCTGGGAATAAAATCTCTGAGAACTATTTCTAAATGTCTTAACTTATCTCCCCTCAAATTAAAAAACAAAACTAACATGGCATATTATACATGCAGAGGTTTGCATCAAGTAATGTTTAAGCTAAAAAGTAGAGAGCTAGTGAGTTCAAAAGAATTTATTTTCATGGTTTAGCAAGTTTATAATACATATCTAATCCCATCCAAAATCCTAGATGCACTTATCACTCATTATAATTTAGACAATGGGGGATTTACATACATCACATATATTATCTTACATTTATATATCTAACATCTAAATATTCATATTTACTTATATACCATATAAATCTTTATATCACAACAAAAATACTACTCCATTAACAACCTTCACCCTTCTCACCTCTATCAATGAACTATTCTCCCACAATCAATATCGGACACAATCAATGGAGGCGATGAAGCTCTACTATGGTTTGCCAAGAGAGTAGACAAAGTTGATGGATAGAAAGTTGAAGGTTAAACCTAGTGATAAAGGATACTGGATAAGAAGAGTAGACAGATGAAGTCGATAGAAGCCTGAGAGGATACGGTTCACATGGGGGGAGATTTGGAGTTTGCGCTTCGTCACTAGCACTTATTGTGAATAGTTCAATCGTGAGAGAGAGTTACTAAAGAAATTGACGATGGGGTTTTAAGGATGATAATAGACTGACAATGTTTGTTTGTTATAATATAATATTTTATATGTTTTATAAATAAACAAGAAGATTTAGGTGTTCTAAAATAATACTCATACCTACAAATTTATATGCATAATTATTTTGTATATATCAGCAACCATTCGAATTTTAGAAGTTTAAAATAACGACTTATCAAGGCACACAAAAATTTTTGAGTTTCTATTAATTATTGTACAAATAGTTCATAATCACAAAAGGGATATCACAAAAATTAATATTAGTAATTTTGTATCTATTGTTTAATCCTCATAATGTTTGTCTTGTTTATATTGTTCCCTTTACATCAAATTCAATCACTTTTGATATTTCTTGCTTTTTATGATTAAAAAAAGTATTATTCCTACCAATAAACTTACCTCTTATTATACACCATTTTACATAGGCCTCATCTTTTTTTTAAAGAGAGAATTGTTCATATCTTCTTAGATGGTTCTTTTGTATACCACAGTCATAAAATGCTTATAAGAGTGTGCTAAAGAGCATAATAAAAACAAGAATGGTGCTAATTATTCACAACCACATAAATATTTCTCAAATTAAAAGTAATTAAACTAAATTAATTCATATGTAATTTGATTGACATACCTTCTTATATGCATAATTATTATAATGCCTTTAATAGGAATTATTAGAGAGAATTTAGGTCATGGAAAATGACTCTAGCGTCAGCAATAAATCTTCTATAATAAGCTTCTCTAAAATATTCATCAAAATTTAATTTCTTTATGATTTTTCAATGATCTTTTCTATTATATTTAAATAAGAAATTGACTCTTAATAGGATACAATGATAAATAAGTATTCATGTAGCCGACCCCACGTAGTTGAATAAAAGCTTGTTGTAAAAAAAAATTATTCAATCCACTAACTACAAATTAAAATCCTAATTATAGTATACAATATCAAGAGCACTCACCATAATGCTTGACCAAATCTCAAGTAACTTAGCACAAAAAAATAATCCATGAATAATCTCAAAATAAGATCACCTCACACAAAAAAGAAAACTTCATCAAAATCATACACCGACAAATAACTCAAGCCATTCACAAACCCTAGTCATCAAGAGAGCGTACGAGAGAAGACAGAGATCAGAAACTTCAAGATGAATTCTCATAACAATAAAAATACGTGAATTATATGCTTCTTCAATTGCAATCTCTCCAATTTTCCAGTGATTAGAGCATGCACTGATGAGATCTATCAACATCTAGGGTTTATAGGCCATCTTCATTGAGCTCAATCCCACCAACCTTCCAATACCCCAAAGCTAACCTCAGCTCACTAACTAGCCTTCAAGCAAAGCGCAACCCTATCAAACCTATGACTTGTTGAAGATGAAATCAAGGGATACTAAGAGTCTACTTAGGACGGTTACAACATTATATAAAATTGATCGTGAAATTCTCATGAAAAAAATAATTTATCTACCATAAAATTTTCTTAAAAAATAATAAAAATAATACCAATACAAGATTAAGTAAAAAATTATCCCAAACAGTTCCTAAAAAATCATTTGAGATGAATGCATCTTTTTGTGAACATTATTTTGCAATTGTTGAAAAAGATAGAATTTTTTTAATGAAATTGAAGACAATATAAACTTTTTTTCTTTTCAATAAAGCTAAATAATTTTCTTATATATGTTATTATAAGAAAATTATTGCTTATCACATAAATTTCTAAGATTAATATGAAAAACAAGTTAAGAAAATGCTACCCCAAACCAAAATCCTAAGGGCATCTCCAACCAAAAATTACATTTTTCACTCCAAAATGCAATGAAACTCAAAAAATGTCATGATTCATCTCCAATCGAACTTCATTTTGCACGCTTATGCGAAGGTAACTATCTTTCTCCTCTTTCGCACGTTTCTTTGGCAAATCCAATTGAGACAGAAAAATCGCGCAGGTAAACAGTGCAACGCCAATATTAACGTTGCACTGTTCACCCACAAACAAATAGCATAAGATTTGACGTTCACTAGAGCGATCGAACGACACCATAAACATATTTGGCGTTCGGTTGAAGATGCCCTAACATGGAAGAATTCACCAAGCCACTGCCATAATTCTCTCTATAATTAAAAGAACATATGACCAAAAAAAACCATGGAAACTTCCTTGCTCAGCATCTTTCACTTGAATCGAATACCCTGATCACCACTAACAATATCAAAAAAATAGGGTTTTCAATCGTTGATTCATCCCACAAGAATACTTCACCTAGAATGAAGCTGCAAGTGAACGACAACCTCTTCATTTTTTCTTCCCTTCAAGCAAGAAGCTGAAGTATAGAATATACAAAATGTGCCCACATACAACACTAATAAACAAGTATTGCCAGTTATAGAATGGCTAATCACAAGAATTATCAAAGTAGAGAACCTAATCAAGGCATTATAATATACTAAGGTTTCGTTTGGGACGGCTTTTTTACTAATTCGTAAAGTAGTTTTTTAATGCAAAAAATACTTTTTTGAACTAGAAAGCTATTTTACGAAGCAGTAAAAAAACCATCCAAAACGAAGCCTAAATATCAATCATAAACATTGCTTGTCTATCGCAGAGCGAGTCTTTTGAGGTGTTGAAACATGCGCTGTTTAATCCACTGTCGATCGTAGGGTAGAAAGGCATGAATGGAGTGATCATAGCTGCAATTGGCGAAAGAGGTGGGTATCAGTTTATAAAACAGGGAGGGAGGCAAAGATGATCCTGGTTCTTGATGTAATTATATACATATATCACACTTACACCAAGGCACTCAGATCAGTAAAGCCATCAATGAAGTTATATAGATCAGCAATGTCATAGGTGATGTTTAAGATAGTTGGGTTGATCTCCTTCAGTTTTCTCTCATAAAGTCCACAAATTCCTGTAAATGAAAGAAGCATTGACTTCAGAATGTAATAGAAGTAAATTGGGGAAACATAACAAGTAATATTGTCGTTACAGTTTTCAGATGCATTATGATTGTAAAAATTGCAATGTTATTATTGCAGTTTCAAACAGAACCTCGTCATGAACTAGTTATGGCACAGCTGCAACAATCATGCTATTTTTCTGAACACATAATTATCATTATCATCGTCACCATCATCATTAACCTAATAACAACTATTTGTGGACAGCATTGTGAATTATAATTTCCAATCAGTCCCGCGGAGTACTACAAAGTGCATTAAACTTATTCTTTATAGATCTATTTGATCAAGGTATATTCATATTAGCTCTGTGTTAGACCGGTCCAGGAGGGACCGGTTCAGCTGGTCCAGAAGGGACTGGCGTATGTTTACTCAAGGCGGAAGCGTGGTCCACCCAGCCCGCCCAACAGCCGCTCGTTCCTCCCTTGGGGTGGGACCCACGGCTTAATGAAGAGAGAGGGGGTTGTTTAGGAGGGAAATTCAAATAGAGAGTTGTTTTGGGTATTTCGCTAGAGATTGTATGCTTTAAGTAGTTTTATAAAACCTAGGGTTATGTTATGTTACGTTTCTATTGAATTAAGTTTTCCTAAGTAGAGAAAGAGACTCTAGTAGGCAGCTAGGGTTTGGGAGAGTCGGATCTTCCTCTCCCATCAAAGATCCATTGTATCTTGTTTGCTTTCTTCTTCCTATCATCAATTAAAAAGTTTCTCGCATGATTCACATAGATCTTTCTTGTTTTCTGTTTTGGGCTTGCTGAAATTCAATTTCAATCAAAGTTTTCTTCTATTTCTAGAAGCGTTTCCTATCACTCTGATCTATCTCCTTCAACTTCCTAATGCTTTGACATTAATTTTATCCGATAGTTTAATAGACACATAAGATTCATTAGGAAGAGAAAACTCATTCAAGGCATATATATAAGCATTTCAGAAATCTTAATAGTTTAATGTGTAAAATCGGCAGTTTAATGGCAATAATATCAAAGCAGGAGAGAATCCATATGCATGAAACAAAAAATGTAAAACCACAAATGGCAAAGCTTCCCACTATTGATAGAGTAGTTGGTACTTGAAATTTTTAAAATGAAAATGTTCAGCAAAACAATACTCAATGTTGTTTTTGTTAGAGGAAAAATGTTTAGATTGAACAGTGTAACACCATTTTGAGCATGGAAGGGTGTTTTGTAAACAGAAAAGCTGATCAAAAGAGATGGTAAATGTACCAGTTGGAGATTACAGAGTTTTTTAACTAGAAACAGGATCAAACTTCCCTTTCATCAGCTGGCCTCAACTTTTCATGCTGCAAGGGTGAACAAATAAATCCTGTATGCCTATTTCTGGTTAGAATGTTAAAAGGTTGAGGTTGAAATAGCAAGAAATTACTCCATTCTTGGGAAATGATCAAATGCAAGTTTAAATTTTTATTTGAAGAGATCGAGAGGAAAAATGGACACCTTGTCAATTATTGCATAAGTTCTTCCATTAGAAATACATAAAAGGTGAGCATACGACCAGCTCCTCTTTACCAAACTTATTTATATTCACGTTATTTAAACTATAATAACACTTCAAATGTAACCATAAAAGCCTATTTTATGTGAATTTTTTTCTTGCATTCATGGTTGACTCAACTTGATTGAACTATAATTTTTTCAATATCCTTTTCCAATTTCTATCATATCTTCAAGTAAATGTTACCATCAACTTTTTCACAAGAGTTTGCTAATACCATACATTTCATAAGATCATCTACTATTAGGCCTCATATAAACATCCATAAGGCCCTAAATATCATTAGAGAAAAGAATCAAAATGGTACCTTAACTCTTTATGAAGGACCAAAATAGTCTCCAATTATATTAAAATATCATTTTGTTTCTTCAACTCTTTAAAGAGGAATCAAAATATTCCCACCATGAGACTATTTTAATTTATTTTTAAAGATTTGAGAGACCAAAATAATCTTTTAATATACTTGAGGATTATTTTGGTTCTTTATAAAGAGCCAGGGGATCATTTTGATCATTTTCTCAATATCATTATATACACATCTCTTTCTAAAAGCTCAAGTTACTAAAATATTATCCCAAAGTAATATATTACTCATCTAATATTTAGTATGCAACTATGATCAGCGTATTAAGACATTAAATTCCATAATATCAATAGAGTGGACCGTATAGAGTTAGTATATTTATCAAAATCATTATTAGCCTTACCCAACTATTTGGGGTTGGAGTTAGGAATTCATATTTTCCATTTATTCTTGTTAAGTGTTTGTCATAAGTATTAAACATTTTATTTGCAAATTATTCTATTTATGTTACATTAGGTTATCTCATTTTCTTTCTAATCATCTAACACTAATTTTAGCAACTTGTCTTACAAATGCATTTTATGCCTTTAATTGTAGATGTCCAACAAACCTAATCATATTTTCAATCATCTTATTTTCAATAAATGTCACTTCAATTTTTTCTTTAATATAAACATTCATTAATTTATTCTTCTTAATTTTGCCACATATCCATCTTAACATCTTCATTTCTAGAAACTCAACTTAGATATCAATGCTTTTTTTCAATGCCTGCCATTAGGATTCATACAGCATCATTGGCCCAATTGCGGTTATACAAAATTCACTTAGTAAGTTTTCATTATATCCTCTTATCAAATAAAACTCTCAAGGTACTTCTCAATTTTAGTTAGCTAGACTCAACTCTCGAAGTTATATCATCATACATATATTCATTTTTCTATAAAATAGATCAAAAATACTTCAACTAATCACGTCTGGATATCATCTTATCTTCTAATAATATTGAATGGTAATTATTAATATTATACATACTAAAATGACACATCATATACCCCATCTTTGTTGGCCTAATTCTAAGGCTTTTATCACCTAAAAATTTAATCCTTAGTTCGAAATTTTCACCTTTTAGTGTATTTCTAACTAGTTAAACTATATATACAAAATAAGTGAAGGTAGAGGTACAAGTATCAGCATAAAGAAGTACATTTGTATGGTAAAAATTCAAAGATACGCATGAGTAACCATCACGCCTATACCTTCTTATCCAATATATATCAAACATCAAAAATAGAAAAATGATAAACCTAATGCTCGAAACAATAAAATGATACAAGTAATCAATAATATTAAAATACAATTAGATTGTAAATTGATCACAAATTAGATAAAATTCTTATAATTGAAAAGATAATATTTGAACCATTAATTTTGTCGAAAATCCAAACATTTTGTTCTTAATACTATAGTAAGGCATAGGCCCTTGCCACGAGACAGTTTTAACCTCCAATCATAGCTTGAAATCAGCCCCATACATAGTAGAAAATTTAGGTTTTGATAACACATAATTCTCCAAATAATCAGCCAAAAGTTGAGCATCATCATAAAGATCTTTATAAGAAAAATCATCATAAAGGTCACAAGCAAAGTATCTTGTTCAGGTGCTAGAACAAATTCAACTATTGACCGATCATTCTTATCACCAATCTCAACATACTCATATGATATCTAGACTTCTGTCTCGTACTGCATACAAACTTTATAAAATATATTCGTTCATGAAATTCTTCCTTAAATCCATTGAGTGCTTCAAAGATTGTAACCATCTTTAGATAGAATGACTTCCATGCTTTGTTAAAAATACTGATGAGTTGACAAAACATTATATTGATAATGATCAATGGAATGTGATGAAACATAATATTAACTTAACAAAATTGAAAGTCATGGTTCCCTTAATTTTATAAGAATAATAATGGTCATGAACTTAGATGAATATCATGATCGATTGTGGGAACTTTAATGAAATGATTGCATACGTATGTAATATAAGTAATTCTCATAACTATGTCATTGATGAAGACAATACTTTAAGTATTCATTAGAGTAATCATTATACACTTAATAAGCCATGAAAGAAATTTACAAAAACATTTCTACCAAGATCATGATGATTTGCCTTTTGATTATTTGCAGACAGACATTGATAGACTAAATTAATTTGGAAGCCAAATACGTTTTATCACATGCTAGAAGGCAGTAATGGCGAATGGCCGCTAAAAATATTAAATGCAGAAGAAAAAATAGAACCAAACAATAGTCTGAATATAACCATAGAATTTGCTATAGATCGGCATGCAAATCAAAGAGATGAATTGAGATTGGTGTCTAAAACAAAGATAATCAAGATCAATCTAAAGGAATGTTGTGTTTGCAAGGGTTGCAACAATGTCTTGGAATATGCAACATCGTGTATGCTGCATATGTAGTTGCGAAGGATGGCCAAAGGCGAGGGCGATACGTGGTGCGGAGGCTTGCAAGAAGCAACACCAACACAATGGTATAGAGGCATTTCACATGCATGTAAGATTTATTTGTACGTGCAGTAGTTGTGGCTTCTGTGTGTAGATGCGAACAAGAGACATGAGTGAGAACATACATGTCAATAACATGCATTATTGCCAAAGAGTGGCAAGGTGCACCACTATGGTATTTTTATAGCAAGGCGCAATATATTAAAACAGTATATACTATTTGTACTATAGATGAGAAATTGCGCATAACCCATTGCCCCTTAGCCTGCTATATTTTGTTATCTCTAATTTATCACTTAAAATTAATATACATATTATTTAAATTTTTTTATTAGTTTTATTTTCTTTTTCTTAGACTTTGTTAGGGCTTCGTGAGGCTTTGAGCTGTAAGGCATGTAGAGGGCCTTAAAACACGATTGGAATGGCTTCAAGACCGTAATAGCTTTAACTTTAGGCAGCCATTATGACAACAAACAAAGACGATGATGATGACTCTAGGTGACGTCTTTTTATCTAGTTATTGCCTTTGGCAGCGCTCCTATTTGCATGGGTGGTCTCAACAGACACTTGACTCTCCATTTTGCTAGCTTTTGATCAAGACT